ATAAACAAAAAAGTTATGATGGTTTCACATTATTGTCTCAAAATCGAGAAAAGCCCTCTAGCGGCTAAACGGTTGAAGATATCCAAATGCGGTTTGCACCAATCAAAATTCCATGAAATTTCAGCCTCAGAGTGGGGGGTTCATTTTTTTGTATCTCGCTCAGAAATTGATGTTTCCTATTAAAAGTGTCCAAATTGGCCCACCCGTTCCGGAACCTAAGTTTGAAAATTACAAGCAATATGTACCAATCTGCAGAGTTCGTCGAAATAATTATTGATTTATTTATTGCTAAAAAAGCAAGAAATTGAAAAATTCGTGAATCTGAAAAATCATCAAGTGTTTCTAGTGTTGATGGTTTTTCAGATTCTAGTGAAGACTTAGATGAAATTGATGACGCAGCTAGTACTGCAAGTTTTGAATCTAATTCAGAAAAAAATCCAGTGGAATTGGAAAAATATTATGCTATTTATTGATGACACCTGCTATATTGGCAAAGTCGAGTCAATTCTGGATAATAAAAATATTCGGTTGAAATTCTCAAAATAATCCCTGGATAAGTTTTATTGATCAAAAAAGGTAGAATACCAAAGTCTAAATTTATTTTTTACGGTCCAATATCTTTAGACTGGTTTGATACCTTTCTTATAAAGAGATGGGAAATGCAAACAATAAAGAAAAAATACAGGGAGTTTGAGCAGAATGTCTAAGTTTTTAAGGGGTGGTATAGTATTTTTAATCCAAACTGGAACACTAAAAAAACATCTAGTCAGCATACATCAAACAAATAAAGAACATAGGCGTCATATAATTTTTATTTCTTTAAATGGTGATAATCAATATCGAACCACACAACTAAATAATACCTGGAATGAAACAGCAAATAATATATAAATTGGGATGATACTGGCGTAGTCTAGTCAGCCTGGCACCTGCATTCTTCCCGGAAACACGTAAGTAGCCCACCCCAATAATTCAACCTATAGGCCACAGGGAGCAATCCTTTTGCCAACTCTTTTTCTGATTTACATAAATGACCTCATAGATAAAACAGTAAATCCACTTTATTGCTTTGCAGACGATGGCAATGTAGTCTCCTCACTCATACCACCCACAGGTCTTTCCGCACGTGAATTCCATCATCTTAGACTAACTCAAATATCGCAGATAAATAACGACCTGGAGATAATAGAGGACTGGGGTAACAAAAACCTTGTACAGTTCAACGCGCAGAAAACCCAAGCAGCTCTGTTTCCAAAAAAGACCAGCACCGGTGAGCCAAACATCATGCTATCTGGAAGTGCTGTCACATTACAGAGTCAGTTGAACATCTTGGGGGTTACTGCAGAGACCAACATGTCTTGGCACAGTCACGTGGCAGATATTGCTAAAAGGGCGTCCCAAAAGCTGGGGGTGCTATTTCGTACAAGACATCTGTACACACCAAGCCAATTGCTGACACTCTACAAAGCCCAGATTCGACCAACTATGGAGTACTGCTCACATATATGGAGTGCAGCACCCAAACATACCTTAATGCTTTTGAACACCGTGCAAAAACGAGCTATCAAGCTGATCAATGACCCCGCACTTACTCGTAACTTGGATGGTCTCGAACATCGCAGATCTGTGGGCGATTTATCTCTCTTCTACAGGTACTATCACGGAAAATGCTCTGAAGAGTTGGCACGTATGATTCCACCGAGAGTAGCGCCTACCAGGCGAACCCGTCAAACAGACGGTAACCATGAATTTACTGTCAAACTAGAGGCACCAAGAACCTCATTATATCAGAATTCATATCTCTGGAGAACAGCATCGCTGTGGAATAAACTCCCTGCGACGGTTTTCCCTGCAGGTTACAACCTGAACCGTTTCAAGACCAATATACACCGACATTTCCGCGCACTCGCCGCTTCTCGAGCGTGATAGGACATTTCCTTGCGAGTGCGCATATCCGTAAAAAAAAAAATAAAAAAAAATAGGCGCGTGCCAACCTAAATCATTATTTTGGGCTAATGTAGCGATATTTTCTTGCTGCTTATAGTTTGTACAAGGAACGGTATATGAATTTACAATAGATTTTCTATGAAGTTAATGGAAAAGAGGGACGTGATGTTGAAATATCCTCGTATAATGCAGTGTTTCAGGTCAGAATAAATATACTAAACTTTTGCTTAACACATTTAACAACAGTTAAAGTTGATCAATATTTTGAATGTGTTAGGTAGATAGGTATAATCAATGCAAATTAATAATTCAAAACCCTAATCGACCAAAAACTACATGAGAGTTTCAGTAATCTTAATTAGGCAATGTTTTTGTGTACCCCCTATACCTACCTCCGTTTTTTATTAAAATAATACGTGCTAATACAAAAAAATTATTAAATATACCTAACAATATCTAATAATACTTGCTAATATCAATAATAGTTAATAAAGTCTTATAATACTGATTAATTCCTAATATTGGATAATCCCGCAGATAATCTGTTCTAATACAAGATAATCCGATAATCCATACTAATTGTGACGCCATTTCATTTTATGTTATTTTGTAATGCTGTAATATGTATTGTAAAAACTTAATTTGAAATAAAGCTACTATTCTATTCTATTCTATTGTAAAATCATGTAATATTTACTAATATCCAATATTATTCACTAATACTGCCTAATACTTGATAATCCTCTAAAAACTAATATTGTACAAAATATCAAAGAGTGTCGCACCCCTCGATTGTAACTATAGAATAGGCGCACACACATATTAAGTAATAAAAAAATAAAAACTACATTTTATTTTTTACCTAGTAGCAAGAAAAACTAAATATTTTACCCTGAAAAAAACTAAATATTGTACTAAACCCTGAAAATCTCGAAGTGCTAACAAAAAAAAGACATCTTGTTAATTGTTGCGCTTTACGCTTGTTATATAATCTAGAAGGAAGGACCTAATTGTCCGAGTCTAACTCGTTACTACTATAGGTAGTCCGGCGAGTTGGAAGAGCTGGTTTCACCAAGGGTTTCGGGTTTGCCCATTTCATCGTTATCATTTAGTTTTTTTGGTGTAGTAGGTTATTAGACTATAAAATATCATTCAATTTTGTTTTTTCAAAAACATTCCCAGTTTTTGTTTACTTTCCCGACCTTAAAGGAAAGTTCCCGGAACGTTCCCTGGGAATGGGAACGTTCCCTAGGGATTGTTTAATAATAGTAGATTATACCACGAGTCAATAATGATAGCTATTATTCCCGAGGATTATTACGAACTGAGCCGCGTTAGCGGCGAGGGAGTAACATTCCGAGGGAATAATAGCCATTATTGCGAGTAGTATACTCTACTTTATTTACGACAAATTAATTTATTTGAGATTTTCAATGAACAAATTTCATCCGTCTCATAATTTTCAATACAAATCCACAAGCACTACACGTTTGACACTGACACTTTTGTGGAATAATGACCATTAATCCCGCTACTCGTCATTAATCCCTGGAGGAATAACATATGTCATTATACTGCCAAAATCACAAATATAATACGCACATTATACATTAGTCGTAAATAAATAAATAAAAAAAGGATCAATAATACTCCTATAATTCCACTACTGAAAATATGTGTTCTAATGGTAACCTATTAAACAAAAAATGCAGAGGCTTAGCAAGAGAATAAACACATTTTCTTAACCTGGGGGGGATTCTCATCCTCTAGTCGCAACCTATCGTCCCGACTCACCCGTAGAAAGGCAATGGGATAGTCGGGACTATAGGTTGCGACTAGAGGATGAGAATCCCCCACCTGAGCTGAGTTTGTTAGGCAATTATTGTATTCCAACGAACACCTCTTGTAATAGTTATTTACCTAACAAATGCGGAAAGTGATACTTTACCGCACGCAACGGCAGTTGACCGAACGATGCGGAGCGGAGTTCGGTCAAGCCGTTAAGGGCGGTAAAGGCACTTTCCGCAAGTGTTAGGTACAAAATTTTACCTATGAGCATCTACATCTCCGAAAAAGGGCATTGATAAAATTAATTATTGAATCAGATTGATTAATGAAATTAGATTAGATATAGAAATGATCAAAAATCCATTTTCTGAAAAAGAGAGGATTTCTGATTAAAAATATCAAATTTTACTTTACCGCACACTATGTGGTAAAGTGCACTTTACCGCACACTTTGTAGTCCACTTTACCGCATACTATGCTGGAAAGTTAACTTTACCTCACACTATGCGGTAAAGTGATACTTTCCATTTGCAAATACGTGCGGTAAAGTGCACTTTACAGCACGCTCGTAGGTAAAATAAATTTTATTTGCCCAATATTCACAACTTCAGTTATATTAGTATCATTAATATTGAAATCAGTGTTAGAGTTATCACTATAACAGTTTGAAAAATGAGTAGCAAAAAGATTTGAAATATCGAAATCATTTGAAACCCTCACATTGTTGAGATTCATGGTAGAGGTAATGCCAATTTTTGACAATGAATTAAAACATTTCCAAAAACCTTTAGGATCAGTATTCATATTGTTCTCAGTTTTAAATATATGATCCCTATGGCATGTATCAGATAACTGTTTACACCTAGCTTGAAGATTACTAAAATGTAAATAATCATTTTCATTATTAGATTTATTATACTGAGTATGAGCTGCCTTTTTATTTTTAACAAGCTGTTTCAGTTCCCTAGTGAACCATATGGGAAAAGAGGAAGAGGTTTTTCTCTTAAGAGGAACAAATTGGCTGATAGCTTGTTCTAATACTGAATAAAGTTTTTCGGTTGCAGTGTTAATATTTCCCTCTAGTATTAATTCCCAATTTATAGGAGCCGAAAAACTATGAATACCATATAATCAGCCCCAGCAAAGTCTCTAAAAAACTCCATAGTACATAGACAATAAACAATAACTTTAATTCTAATTCCTTAAAAAAAACAAAGATTTGAATATGTAATTTTTTGTTTTATTTAAATTTAAAAAAATGGTTTAAAAATCTCAGAGAAATAGTAGAGCATATCAAAAAAGGACTTCAAATTGAATCAAAGCATTCGAGGACATAATGTTTTAAGGCTATTGTACACAATGGGCCCACAGCAATGGCCATGATGGGCATTGGGGACAAGCAGTGTGTAATCGTTCACACAATGAGTTACATTGTAAAGTATTATCTCTGAAGAGAAAATTTTCACCAACAATCGGCACAGTCAATTAAAAAAAATACTAATATATTGCACTAATTTTACCAATGCGTACAGAGTATAAAATATATCTTACGAAGGAATGTAAAAATTAAATTTAAATAAAATGGACGGACTTAGTTACTAATAAGTGCACTCTTAGGCAAACAGTGAAGCTCTTTTCTTGCTTACAATTTAAGTTTAAGATAGCTAAAATGTATTTACAATATTTAATTAATATTTCAGTCATGATGATGCTTAAAGTTATTCGAGACTGGAATTTTGTTGTACTCTAAATAGATAATTAGTTCATATAGTATAGTTAATTAGTTCCTAATTAACAATTATTATTAAACAATAGCTTAATAAAGTCAAAGCGATTGTTGCTACAGTGGCTGAACCTGCAGCATGACAATCAACAATTCTACGGGCTCTCATAAAATCGGGCCCCAAATAAGCCGAATAGTAACGTTTACTTGGCTCAATTATTTTCAATTGAGTAGTGGCATCTTGAAAAATTAAATCCGCATAAGGAGGTTCTGAAGTGAACATACTAAAACTAAATTCATCGGCGGTTTTTCTACCGTAAAACCTTTGAGCGTACATAAATAGGTTTATGTAAGCATCTATATGGGTTTCATTGTAAGCGTACCCGCCCCTGGTTACAATAGCGTTAGCCTTCACTTTGCCCAAGTTACATTTTCTATATTCGTTGGTTTCAGCTCTGGTACCATCTGGACACAATAGTTCGAAATCTTCCATTAGATTGTCTCTGACCCACCATTCACGTTTTTTACCGCCAGTATTTTCGAAAACAGTGGTGTGCTTTACGAAGGCTACTTGACCGCCACCTTCTACTAAACATCTAAATGCTCCAGTGTGGCCGTAGTAATCCTCAGAAGCGTCACGCCTACAATATCTGAAAATATACAGGACATTTAAAGCTAGAAGCTACTGAAAAGTGCAAGTATGTAGTTAATATATCTATATAGTAACAAAGAATAATCATAAACAAGCCGTCAGAATTTTTCTCGATTCTAGAAACCAATATGTAGGTAATTCTAGAAAGTAGCTTTTTTGTAAATAAGTTTGGGTAAGTTTCAGCTACAACTACTTCCGAACTTAAAATGAAATAGAGCCAACCCGGTAAAGTACTATGGGTTCCATGAAGGTGATGATGCTATTAGTTTTAGAGTAGGCTTGAGGAAGACACGTTTGGAGAAAACCCATGGTCGGCAACCAGCTGAATAGATTGATGATCATCTTATATTTGCAATGTACAACAAGCTTGTTGATGTGTCTTGTAGTGTTGAAGTATCTGCAGTGTTGAAGTCTTTCGAGTGATGAGTCTTCGGTCAAGGTGGTGAATTTTACAGAGACGTTGAGTTGAGAGAGCATATATTCGAGATTTTTGGTGGGAGGCCCAATGTTTCTTGCAGATAAGGATTGTGATTATCTGCAGTGTTCTCGTAGTTTGAGGGTAATAACCGAAACAATAACGACTACAGTATCCGTCTCATAATTTTATCACAGAATTATATGGATAAGGAAGTCAGAGTTTTGAGGACAGGATTATGACAATATACAAAATACAAAATCTTAAATAACCATTATTCCACAGATTTGTAACTTCAGTCTAAATGCTAACCAGCAACTCGGAGGCCATACTAAGAAGCTGAGTAAAGAGAGATGCTCCAAGCTGATCAGAAAGAATTTTCTGACGAATAGGGTTGTCTATTAGTGGAACACCCGTTAGGAAAGCAGCTCCTTTAAAGAACGCATTTAAAAACAGATGTGACCGAGAGCTGGCGAGAGCTAGACTGAACTTTGTGCATTACATGTGACTCATAACAGTGAAAACAAGGATATGACAATACAGCAGTAGTCTCATCGGCGTTGCCGCTTACTGCTGCTCAAACCTATAATAATAATAATAATAATAATAATTATGAATATTTGTATCGATTGTGTGAGGTATGTGATTATCATTATACATCTATAAAAATACTCTGGTCATTAGTCTCTTGAAATCTCAATAGAAAAAGCAAAAAAAACACATTTTTTTCAAATGGAAAGACATGTAAAGAATCAACTGATCAAGCGCAAACATCATGATGTCACTACATCCTCACAAGGGATTATGGGGAGAGAAGGAGAAGAAAAGTTGAAAATGTATATGACAGCTTCATCAGATATCGCCCATTGTTGTCAATAATAACTTAAAATACCTACTTATATGTAGGGGAGATCCCTACTATTTCAGTATTGCTTCACACTTATCCATCGATGAAAAAAGCTAATTAAAAAGCCTATAACCGTGAACAAAATTCTGTTGAAAAACAGCACGAAATAATTCATACCTGTAACTGCTTCCATGGCACAAATCGCACATATTATCATAAGGCACTCCTGTGTTGTATTCGGTGCTGATAGCCCCTGGTACGCAACTTTTGGTGAAGTATTCTGCAGCAGCTCGTATACTATTGCAACCATAGGGCCTTATCCAACCATTACTAATCAAAAATGCTAGAGGAAATACCCAACCTGCTGCTGTGTTTATGCCTCCGTGACAAGTATTTTTAGCTGAAATTTAACTCTTGATAGTATCTATTGGAGGAAGTAGCAAATATCTTACTTCTCAAGTATGTTAATTCAGTATCTGGATCAGATTCCTTAGCGACAGCAACTACATAATAATCTGGATCTTCTAAATTATAAACTTCACTTATAAATGGTACTAATTCATAGTTTAGGCCAGCAGTATAAACGTCGCTGGCGTCTAATACTGCTACATCTGCTGTGCCTAATTGAGTAAAAAAATCATTTTTAAATAGAAATTCTAGAAAATTTGCGGAAATTACCTCCTCTAATGGCTTGCATACAATGAATTTGTGAATGTCCTTTGTAACAATCTAATTCCGGTTTTAAAAGTTGTGCCTTCAGTGCAGTCTAAAAAAATGTATGATGTATTTGATAACCTTATGATGGCAGTGTCTCACCTTCATTTTGACACATTTATCCTTTTCAACGTCTGAAGTAACGCACATAGTCATAGTGTTAACAGGACAACTCCTGACTTGCATTATAATTTCGTGAGCTTTTCCCAAAAATGCTTCGTAGGTTTGTAGATGTTCTGGCACTAGAGCTATACCTCTGGCGGCATCCTGATATTTTAATTGTTTATTAATTTGTTGTTAATTATTTGGGAATAAGAAATTATTACCTGAAACATCAAATTTCCATGAGAGCCGTAACGTGGCGAAGATTCAAACAGGTTAAAATGTTCATAATACTTGTAGTCTCTTTCTCTTGTGCTGTTTCTGTCGTTTTCATAATCAGTCCTATATGCATTGTAGTCTGGGTTATAATTATTATTTGGTCGATATCTGAAAATAGTATTGTTCTTTTAATTTTATTTTGACTTAAACTCTGTTGCAGTGTTTAGTTCATTAATGCAATAATAATATTCACTTTAATTTAAAATTAAAAGAAAAATTATGTACACAAAATTAAGGTCTTACTCATCTTGTCCATAATTTTGTCTTTTAAATCTCTGTGGATATCTAGCGGGATATTGATTAGAATTTGGCTGATTTTGCCTTTGTCCATATTGATCGTACTGATCTTGATTATATTGGTCCTGATCAGGAACAATTCTGTTGCCAAAATTATCAAATTGTGGCTCCCTTTGATCATTATCTGACTCTCTAGGATTTTGCTGGGAATATCTGAAAACATTAAACAAATAAAGTAACTGCATAGTTTCAAGTGAACCAAACTAACCTTTCAGCAAATGCCTGTAAAGCCTCCTGATACTCCTTTCTTTTGTCAAACAACACTGCTGAAGAAACTACAATCGCATCTGAAGGGACTATGCCCCAGTTACAATTTTGGTATTCAGATAAAGGCCTCTTTATTCCGTCCTTACACAGCAGCTCAAACTGTTCTGATTGTAACCCAGCTGAAAGAAAAACCCCACAAAATTGCCAATTAGAACTAAAACAGAATATATCCACATACCAAATTCTCTACTTTTAAGCAGCTCTGGTATGGTAGTATGTTTCAGAAAAGCAATTTCGCCTTTGTCCAACAGGCACCTATAACGATAATTAGTTAAGGTTTGAATTAAAACTTGATTGAGAAGCTTGAATTTACCTAAAGGCTCCACTATAGTCAGCAAATGGATCAGCATCAGTACACCACCTGCCAGGAATCTCACCCACACACAATTTGCAGAGTTTATCAGAATTATCCCCAATAGGGTTATATTTATCATTTAAACAATTAACTGCACACGATGGGCCAAAAAAGGAGCTAGCAGTTTTAACATGGTTATTACAATCAATTACATCCATTATCCCATCACTCATTAGCTAAAAAAGTTTATAAAAATATGTATTTTTTTTTAAATAAAAATCACTCACAGTACTTATAGGCAACATCCAGCCTGCATAAGTTTCCACGCCAGCAAAACAAGCTCTTTTTCCTCTCAAGTTGTGCATGGTAGTTACATCTGATAAACTTCCTGCTTTAACTACAGCCACAGAATAATAGTAGTTAAACCCTCCTAAAAATACACCAGAATGATGTAAAATCGTTTTAAATAAGCTCAATGTTGTACCTTCCATGACTTCTTGTGCAATTGGCACTAAACTATGATACCGACCACCAACAAACATTTCTCCAGCATCAAGAGTTGTCATTGTTGCTGTACCTTCATCTAACATGATCATACACTCATCTAAAATCATAAGGTAGATAAATGAGTTCAAATAAGTAGTAATAATAAAACGTACCTTTATTTGCTGCCTGTACGCAATCAATTTTAATTGTTTCCCTGCTTGTTCCGCTAGTAACTTTGATCTGATCCCTTTCATTTGCATGCATGAAAGCTTCACATTTTTTGGTTTCGTTCACGTTGATTGTGCACCAGACTATTTTGAGTTCGTTTGGCGGAATTTTGTTCTCAATCTCATTGGTTTCTCTGTAGAGTTGAGCTGAAAAACATCTTCAGGCATGACAAAACTGAAAGGCTTGGTTTTATCAGTACACACAAGTATGTTGTTTATAAATAATCTTGCATCTACTATAGACTCCTACAATTTTTACACATGGTTTATTAGTTTTTAGTGACAGCCAATCACAATTGTTAATGGATTTATTTAACTCTACATTATAAACCAGTTGACTTTTCATATATATAGATGTTCCACCCCCTCGTATAGGTCTACAACAGTGTTAACAGGGTGTTCTTGAATATTGCCTCAGATTGGTTTGGAAATTGGTAGGATATAAAGGGATGAGAAAATTTAAAAAAAAATAAAAGGAAGGTTTTTTTATAATTTTTATTGATATTTTGGATCAGCTATTATCTTTAAGATGCGACTCTTTTTTTAGTTTTATTTTCTCTAGAAGAAACTTCTTGCAGAAAATGGATTTATTCCTCTTACATCTAATATCTACAATATGGTACTTGCAGCAATTTTTTTTATCGCTGATTTCGTTAGTCGATAAAAAATGAGTCAACTCGTGTTTTTTTTCTTCTTAGTTAGGTCAGGCAATGAAGCAAAAAAAACGTGGTTTGTGAGAAAAAAATTGTATAGTTTTTAAATTTTGAAAGTTTGTTCAGATGGACATAGTGAGTCGGAACCTCATTTTGCAGCAGTTTAGGGGGTGGGCTCGCTGAATGGGGGTGGTTTTTTGAAAAAATGAAAGTTGTGGTAGAACGCTGCTAATACGGCTTAACGAAAATGATTATTTTTTTTGATAAAAGTCTTCGGGGAATGGTGATTAAAAACTGCGCGACAGCACTATTCTATCTTTTATAGTTAACGCCCTAGAGCGCGTCAAAGTAAGTGGTGGGACCTTGAAATTGACCTCACCGCCCCATGTTACGTTTCGTGCGTGAGAGAAATAACGGATTATACAATTTTAATTATTCCAAAACTATCTAAATCTTGAATAAATCTGCCATAAGTGCGTTTTTTAAGCGGTCCGATAACTTTAAAATAAACGATTTTACAAATTATTAAAGTTCAACTTTTTTGTAAAATTCAATAAAACTTTAGCTAAGTTTAGAAAGGATTTTTTTTTACAAAAAATCATAAGGCTCAGATCAATTTTTTTATCTCTATTTGATAGCTCATAGTTTTCTGCATTCAAATCTATTTTTGTTTTTGGTAATTTATACATGGTAATTTCTGTGGAAGCCGTTTTATAGAGAGCGGTCGATCCCATGTTGAACATGCCGAAAACGGTCCGATCCCTTTTCGACATGTTTAACATGGGATCGACCGCGCATTATAAAACGGCATCCACAGCAATTACCATGCATAAATTAACAAAAACAAAAATACATTAAAATTATTATTATTATTATTATTATTATTATTATCAGTATAGCTATAGGAAGCGGTAGTGATGGCAAGGGAGAATATTACCAAGAGAAGTTTTGATAATATTACGTAAATTAGGGTAATATTACCTCATAGACCGTCAGTTAATGACAGATTTTGCTGACCGATTTTCTCTCTTCGAGGATTTCAACCACTGAAAATTATGTCAGTGCTGAGCTCAAAAAATATATGGAAAATTTATTTTCCTGTTGCAATTTCTCTCTCATGTCAGTTTAACACATTAATCTTATAGAACAATCTAATAATGAAAAACCAAAGCCACAAGGTTTGCAAGTACTGAAAGGGTTGAAATAAGGGCGCGATCTTGTGAAAGAATATTCGGTTGCTGATCGTTTTCTCGCTTATGGTAATCGACATAATCAAATTTGATATCGTTAGGAACCAGAAAAAAAAATCCCATAGCCGGTCAGCTGTTAAAGTATATTTTACGGCCGCTACAAAAACAAAGTAAATTTTCTATATGCCTAGCAGACCTCCGGTCACTAAATTTTCATCACTAACATAATTTTCAGTGGTTGAAATCCCCGAAGAGAGAAAATCGGTCAGCAAAATCTGTCATTAGCTGATGGTCTATCACCCTTGGGGTAATATTACCAAAACGAGAATTTTAAACCAGTAACTTACGGTAATTTTCCCAGTAAGTTTCCATGTAATATTCTCAGGAATATTACGCCATTCAATGCTGTCCAGAATCCAAAACGTTTACCGACTTGGAAGGAGCAGGCTGGGATGAAGTCATAGTTTGATAGATATAGTCATGTAGGTGGTAGACGCTTGTAGGTGGTAGACGCTTTTTACTCATTGGGCGTCGACCGGTGAGATACCACCATGCCAGAATTGAGTAGCGCTAAGTGGTATCACCACGTTCCGCTACTGCGCTGGCAGTCCGGTTCCAACAATGAGTAACAGATAGCATGATGGCGCCTCCAGGATCAAAATATTCCGGAGGTAAAATACCCGACCACTCGGATCTCCGGGCGTCGGGTGATCCTGGGGGTCCTTCATGCAAAGATATAAAGAGAAGATCAAAAACTCAACTCAGAATTGATTTTAGCAATATAAGAGGAATAAGTACAAATATGAATTCAGTTCACCAACATCTTGAAGAACAAAGACCTGACATCCTTGTTCTCACTGAAACTAAAATCAGTTCTGCAACACCTATTGTGAACTATCTTTATCCCGGCTATGACCTACACCACCGATTTCGACATAATTTTGGGATCTGTGTGTACATTAAAAATGACCTTTCATGTCATCGAGAGGAGAAGCTAGAACCAGCGAACCTTGATATCATATGGCTAAAATTCACCTCAAAGTCATCGACCAAGTTTATCTGCTGCCTCTACCGACCGCCATCTAACACCGAGTACCAAAACTTTTTCGCGACATTATCCGAAAGCTGTGATAGTATACAGTCAAACTATCCACAGGCGGAAATTGTCTTTTTAGGCGATTTCAACGTCCACAATATACCCTGGCTGAAACACCACAACAAAACAGATAACGAAGGCAGAGAAGCAGAAGCTTTTGCCATAAGTTGTGGTCTAACGCAGCTTGTCGATGAACCTACCCGTATCTCAGAAAGGGGCGAATTTGCAGCGCTTTTAGACTTGTTCCTAACCACAAATCCTGACTCGTACACAATTCAAGTAGATGCTCCACTTGGTTCGTCCGATCATAAACTTATAATAACAAAGTGCGAAATGCTCATCCCACCAAGCCAACAACCACTTCCTCGTAAAATGTGGCACTATAAATCGGCAAAATGGAATGACCTAAAACAGTTTTACCTGGATTTTCCATGGCAAGAGGTTTGCTTTAAAACAGCTGATCCCACTATTTGCTGTAATGAAATAACACAAGTAATCTTATCTGGAATGGATGCATATATCCCACATACAACTAAACGTAGAGCTAATGCAAAACCTTGGTTCAACAGCCAGTGTCAAACGGCTGTACAGAAAAAACACAGAGCATATAATCTTTGGAAACGACAACAAACCGCTCAAAACCACACAAAATTTATAGAAGCCAGAAATGGTTGCAAAATTACTATTGACTCCGCTAAAGAAACATACAATCAAAGAATAAAAAACAGGTTGCTGAATTGTCCAAGTAGTTCTAGGTCCTTTTGGTCTCTTGCAAAAGCTGTTGGATCTAACTTCACCAAGTCATCCATACCACCACTTACAGATAAAAATAATCACTTAGCCACAACATCAGAGGAAAAAGCCAATATGCTGGCCAAAATGTTTTCCTCCAACTCCAACCTAACAGTGCCAAACGGAAAAACTCCACCGTTCATTGAAAGGGTTTCCCATAGTATGCCAGAGGTACCCTTTTGTCACAGAGAAATACGAAAATGCCTTAAAAAGCTGGATACAAACAAAGCAATGGGTCCGGATGGCATTCCCGCAATAGTACTCAAAAATTGCGCCAACGAACTCACCCCAACTTTCGCAAAATTATTCAATTTGTCTTACAGGCAAGAAGTATATCCATCATCATGGAAGTCTGCCGCAGTACAACCCATTCCACAGAAAGGAAAAAAGACAGATCCGTTAAACTATAGACCAATTGCTCTACTTCCGGTGATATCAAAAGTAATGGAAAGAGTTGTGAACAATCACCTAACCAAGTACTTGGAAAAGTACAAAATTATCAACGATAAGCAATACGGATTTCGAAAATATAGGTCAACTGGCGATTTACTTACATACGTCACTCACTTATGGCAAAAAGCGATTGAGTTGCGGGGTGAAACAAGAACAATTGCCTTAGATATATCTAAAGCATTCGACAAAGTTTGGCATGAAAATCTGCTCAACAAGCTCAAAGCAATGGGATTATCGCCGAAACTTTGCACTTGGTTTGAAAGTTACCTAAAGGACAGATCCATTTATGTTGCACTGGATGGCCAGAACTCCAACTCTTACCAAATAAATGCTGGTGTGCCACAGGGAGCAATCCTTTCGCCAACTCTTTTTCTGATTTACATAAATGACCTCATATATAAAACAGTAAATCCACTTTATTGCTTTGCAGACGATGGCAATGTAGTCTCCTCACTCATACCACCCACAGGTCTTTCCGCACGTGAATTCCATCATCTTAGACTAACTCAAATATCGCAGATAAATAACGACCTGGAGATAATAGACGACTGGGGTAACAAAAACCTTGTACAGTTCAACGCACAGAAAACCCAAGCAGCTCTGTTTTCAAAAAAGAACAGCACCGGTGAGCCAAACATCATGCTAACTGGAAGTGCTGTCACATTACAGAGTCAGTTGAACATCTTGGGGGTTACTGCAGAGACCAACATGTCTTGGCACAATCACGTGGCAGATATTGCTAAAAGGGCGTCCCAAAAGCTGGGGGTGCTATTTCGTACAAGACATCTGTACACACCAAGCCAATTGCTGACACTCTACAAAGCCCAGATTCGACCAACTATGGAGTACTGCTCACATATATGGAGTGCAGCACCCAAACATACCTTAATGCTTTTGAACACCGTGCAAAAACGAGCTATCAAGCTGATCAATGACCCCGCACTTACTCGTAACTTGGATGGT